TGGGTCCTCAGACAGACACCCTTGGGTTTCTGTCCCAATCCCTGAGTTTATGTTCTGGGGCATGTTGCCTGATCTTTCTGAGCCTCAGTTTCCTCATCTTTAAAATGAAACTATCCATGGAGAAGTGTGGGGGAGATTAAATGAGATTATAGACTCATGGCTCTTGGCACATATCCTGAGCCTATAAAGGTTATAGTAATACATAGCTAGGTTTAAAAAAAAAATCAAAATACAAACTAGTTCTCAATCCGTGATTCATTTCCTTTAAAATTCCTGTTCTGATTATAAAAAACCTAGCTTTGTTTATTCAGTTGGGCATGTGGCAAGAATCACCAGTAAGTCTCAAGTATTCCCATGAGTTTTAGCAAGCAGTCTGAACTAGCTTAAAATGCTTGATTTTCATGCACTCATGAAAGCCTAGAAATGTGTCTGATGTATAGTCTCATCATATGTGCAAATGCCGCTACATCTGCTTAATCACTCAATTCACCTTGAAGCAGAGAAATTTCTATTTGCATTGCCTTTTTTTTCTAAAGAGCTAATAGGTACCTACCTTAATTATGGATTCAGAGCAGATAGTGAGTACTTGGTGAAAATGCTTGTTGTAAAGCATGACATTGATTTCTCGTTCATGCGTGTGAGGAATCTGCTTTGTATCTTGGATCATCCTGGTCAAAGGGTACATGTCCATAACACTAGATCCTGGAATAGAAGTCAACAGCTTGTGAACAGCCAATATTGGAGGTTCTGTAGAATAAAGCATTTGACCCCAATAGTTGGGTTTGGAAACGGCCAACTGATGAAATTAGAAATAGCAATGCCTAAAAATACATTCATTTATTCTAAAACATTTTTTGAAAAAGTAAATGAGATTCAGCCACAGAAAAGTGTTCACTTTGGGTATTTTGGATTTCAATACTGGTTCCTTTTTTGAGACAGAGTCTAACTTTGTTGCCCTCAGAAGAGTGCCATGGCGTCATAGCTCACAGAAACCTCAAACTCTTGGGCTTAAAGCTTTCTCTTGCCTCAGCCTCCTGGGTAGCTAGGCTACAGGTTCCCGTAACAAAACCTGGCTATTTTTAGAAACAAGGTCTCGCTCTTGCTCAGGCTGGTCTTGAACCTGTGAGCTCAGGCAATCCATCCGTCTTGGTTCCCAGAGTGTTAGCATTACAAGTGTGAGCAACCGTGCCTGGCCAAGTTCGTTACATCTTAAATGCAGGCCATGTGAACTTCACTGCTATCCTTTTAGTGACTGTCATTTTCCTTTTTTTTTTTTTTTGTTTTTAATACTCTACTTTTAAGTTTCCTTGTGCCTACAACATGCCTTTCCATCTTGTGCTCAGCAATAATGGTGATGATAAGCTTTCTGCTGAAGGTAAGCTTCCATTTAGTGAGTGAAATTTATTGTTATACAGCCCATTTCAACCCACAAATTGATAAAGCCCTCTGTAAACATGGGCTTATTAAACATAATGAATGAGAATGATTGCAAGCCAGGACTTGCAACATCAGTATTAAACAAAATTAATTTCCAAATCACTATTGTGAAGTAAATGGAGAGCAAGTCTTCTTTACTTGCATTTTCCCAAGAGAGTTTGGCTTGGCTATAGTAACACTATAAACTGCAAGTACCATTTAAGTCTCAAAATCAACTAGTTGTATGTATTCTGTTTCAGTGTAATATCTAGAAATATAAATAACAATCTCAAAGCATTCTGCGGCTCAAACAAAAATGAAACCTCTTTCCTGTTTTATTGATGTGGAGATTAAGTTACCAAAGGCAGACTTTACACTGAGTTTCTCAAGTCTCTCTGAAGAATTCTCAACTTCAGGAGAAGTTTCAGCAGGAGTTACTAAACACTTGCCTAAGTGTTTAAATTTTAGGATGAAATCTGTTCATGTGTGAAGGAGGACTAAGATGGCTCATCTGGCAGTGTTTCTCAATTCAAATACCTCAATATGGAAATGCGAGATGAATATAGTAACCATATAATCAAACTACACTCAGAACTTCTTGGTCGATCCTTTTACATTCAACTGATGTTACCTAACTCTATTTAGAATGGACATCAAACAAGTTTGATTTGTTCATGGACAAGTGGCAACCTTCTACTTGACAGACAGATTGCTAGAGAGTCTGCTTCACCATTTATAGAATAGGAAAAATAACAATTACCCCCTCATGTAGTGGTTGTGCAGATTAAATGAAACAGTATATAAGAGTATTTTATAAAGGAACTCTACAAATGGTAGTTATCTCAACAAGAGTAATAATGGCACTCCTTATTATCAGCAGCATATATCCTAAAATTGGAATGAGACAGAGAAGATTAGCCTGGCCCCTGTGCAAGAATGACACGCAAATTCGTGAAGCATTCCATATTTTTTAGTTTGCATGCATTTGAATAACCGGTATACTTTAGCTCTACTTTTTGATTTGACCCAACGAATCATCAATGGGTCTCCAGTATTCCCATGAGCTTTAGAAGCCTCAAGTCTGCAGGATAAAGAATTTGCAGCAAAGTAGCTTGTGGGAAAAGAATGTGCCAAACATTTGGCAGTTTGGCTAGAGCTTAATAATTGATTAGATTTTCTGGTTTTCTAAAATTGCAATGAAAGGAAATTTTGGTGTATTGTATCTTTCCTATAGTAGCAAATAAGTGTGTGTGTAGAGAAACAATAAAATTGACATTTGAGTACCTTAAAAAAAAAAAGAGTAAATAATAGGAATGTAGTCTTCAAAGCATTTCTAGGAGGTGGTGCTGCTGTCATTGAGATTCAGAAGAGGAGGAAGGCTACTTCATTTGATTCAAAGCATGAATTAAAAATCCAAGAGATACAGATAAGTTTCACGTAATTCTGACGTCAAGTTGATCGTTGCTGTCAATGTCTGTGAGTTTAGTGATCAAGCAATACATAGAGCTCTACCTCGTTAGAAACAGAAGTGTGATCAGAATGATATAAAATTTGCAAGAAATCTTGATTTTTCTATCTTCCTCGTCCTCCCACCCCTTCCTCTCTTCTTTGTTTTGTCTTGCTACTTGAGTCCTTAGTTGCTTTGATGATGAATGGCTGGAATTACTAAACACAGTAATCAAACATGCAAGTTGGAGCACTCAGAAAAAAATTGCTTATTATCTTTAGTATATTCCTTTTAGAAGAGGTAATATAGGAGAGGGGTGCTTCCTGTAGAAAAGAGATCCCCATAACTCTGACAGGAGGCTAGCCATTTTAGAAAATCAGGACAGAAACTAGCAATCCCCTCCCCAGATTCCTGGAGGGCCTCAAGTCCAGAGTTCCTAGAACATCTTGCCCACTCCTGGTTGGTACTAAGGATATACCCATGATCCTGACCTACACTAGAGAGGAGCCCTGGGGCGGGCGGGGCTCTGGCCTTGCTTCCCCATTTCAGCTGTACTTCACGTCCCCCTTCCTGCTAATAAAGGCCTTTTGCAACTGTGTAGGAGCTGAGTTGATTCCATTCTCCTTTTCCCTCTATTAAAGTCTTTTCTTGTCCCTGGACTGGCCTCTCCTTTCTTGCAGACCCTCACCCCAGTTCTAAGCCAGAAACTCGCACTTACAACTAGAACTAAGTTATGTTTCATGAGGTAGAAAACGATGTAAAAATCATAAAGTGCTAGTTTGCTCCTAATCCAGGGGAGAAAAACACCAGAAGTTAAAAATAATTACAGAAGAACCTCTATGGTTGACCACCTCCCTATATTGACCACCTCCTTAAACTGACCTAATTTTCATAGAGTGGACATGTACCACATGTACATATCAGTACAGTGGGCCTAGTTCCTTATTTATTTATTTATTTATTTATATTGCCCTGGGTAGAGTGCTGTGGCATCACACAACTCACAGCAACCTCCAACTCCTGGGCTTAGGCGATTCTCTTGCCCTAGCCTCCCGAGTAGCTGGGACTACAGGCACCCACCACAACACCCTGCTATTTTTTTGTTGTAGTTTGGGCAGTGCCAGGTTTGAACCTACCACCCTCAGTATATGGGACCAGCACCCTACTCACTGAGCCACAGGCACTGCCCAAGGCCTAGCTCCTTATGTTGACACCTCTGTGTGCTGACCAGTTTGTCACAGTCCCTTGGATGGTTAATTTACAGATTTACAAATTCTCCATCAGGGAAGAGAGCACCAACCAGCTCTCTGCCTTAATCCTACAAGAACTCAGAGCAGGTGGTCAGGGGGAAAATGCTTAGCAGATACCTTCTGGGTTAGTGTTCCAGAAGGAGGAACACAGGAAAGTGACTCCAGATGCTGGGAATCGCTTGAAGTCCAAATGGATCCTTGGCTTTGCCCAGGAAAGAATTCAGGAGGCAGCCACAGTATAACGTGAAAGCTAGTTTTATTCAAAAAGGATAGAAAGTCTACTTCTCAAAACAGAATAGAGGCCACGTGGAGGAGATCTGGCCCCATGGTTTCTTTAGCCCTTCTACTTAAGCAACAGCCTAATTACATTGTTATTTCCTGGAAGGGGCAATGCTTTCCTGGAGTTAGAGTGACACCCTCCATTTGACTACATATGGTCAAATGGGAGGTGTCACTGTGTCAGGAGCATGATGAGCGTGGTAGGCTTCCTCAGAAACGTTTATGGTAATGACGTGTACATGAACTGCAAGGTCACGAAGCAGCCATTTTCTCCACTTTTCTCAGTTCTATGGGTTGGAACTCGCCCCACCTCCCTCTTGTTTTGATCTGGGTGGCTGGAAACAATCTCAAGACTTCCTGACTCAGGCAGGGCCTGGATAGTTAAACAGTGCCTGTAGCAAGGCCTGAAGCAACACCCAAAGCAGCACCTCCCGCTCCCTGTCTCAAAACTGCTGCAAATATTGTTTATGTCTCTTCTAAAGCCTAAAAGTATGCACACGAACAGTGTGCAACCTAAATGTCTAGCAGGGCCCCTTGTCTCCTCAATAAGCGTGTCTTTCTAAGAAGCCACAGCATCAGCATTGGCACTGGGACTCTATCCTCACTATTCTTGGTCTAGAAGCAAAGGCACCAGAGGGATGGCACCCTCCTTGCTGATCAATTGCCTTGTTAGCAGCATGCCTGGGGCCAAAGTCCTTTGCTGCAGAAAAGGGGCATTGACTTGGTCTGTAATGCAGCTGCGCTAAAATGGGGTCATATTCCTGCTCCCAAGAATCAAACAGTGCTGAGTGTGGATGCTGGATTTGCCCTGTCTGTCCGTAGTGAGAGAAGTTACATACCACTGTCTGTCTGTACGTAGTGAGAGAAGTTACATACCACTGTCTGTACATGGTGAGAGAAGTTACATACCACTTCTCTGCTTAACCTCGGCCTTGTCTTCCTAAGTTCAGTGACTTAAAGCACAGACTTGGTATTTTCAGAGAAGTGTGGTTACACATTTCATATACCCAGCCCCAGGAAGAGCAGAATTTAACTCAGTACCTACTGCAGTGAATTATGGTCTATTATTTACCCTTCTAGTTTGGTTTTTCTTCTAGTTAGTGCTCAAGTGCTAGCTTTAAAAAGGTTAAAGGTTAAAAATCAAGATATGAGCTCATTTGCCATTAACTGGGCACACTTACCCGTAATAAGCATGCCGTGATTGGCATCATATATCATAGAATAAATCTGCATGTCTCCTGGTCCTCCTTGGCTGTCGTGGAAGACTTGTAATAGTGACAGAGTCTGAATATCCCACACTCTGAAGACCTGGGAGAACAAAAAACCCAGTCACCACTGTTTACACTGTACCCTCCCCGTGCAGTATTTTTATGTGAAGGAAGCATCCAGGACTCTGCAACATGCTCTTACAGCAAAGTACAATTAGTACAATGGACACACATTTGCTAAGCCCCCATTTTGTTTGTTGGTTCAATCATTGTAAAAAGCAAAAGTTCATAGAGAAACCAGAGTATACATGGGTTCAATGAGAGTTCATTAATACCAGAGGAAAACAGCAGGAGTGATTGATACTCTGTTTCAATGTATACCTTTAGGAAATAGAGTCTTCTGTTATAATAGAAGGGAGAAACAAAGCTTTTATTACTCTTTAAGAATCTGAAGGAATAATAAAAGACTGATCATGATATTAAAGCCACATTTCTCTTTCTACTATGGGTGAGAAAATAAGACATTGAAGCGGAAAGTTTTGAATTTCTCTTTCATGTGTTATAAAGGTAGGAACACGTTGCTAAGAGAGGTTGCTAAGAACCTCCTCTTACTCAAGATGTATAAGTTACAGAAGCAATTTCGGGGGATGATATAGCTCTAGTGAGAGTACAGGAAACTGTTACCAGAGCTCTCATTGGGAGAGGAAGGAACTATGCTATTACTCAAATAGAACTTGAGCTGATGTTAGAGACCCGAAGGAACAATACACATTCAGCAAAACTAGGTCAAGTGTTTTACTCAAAATATCTGGTCTCAGTCTTCTTCATTATTCTGTTTTTTTCCTTCTTAGCAAGTTACAGTGTGATGAATTTCAGAAATAAGTGTGATTAGATCAAGAATAACGTTTTCCAGCCATGCATCAGCCTTCAACCATGCTTTTGTATTCTAATAGTTTTATTAACTTATTAAATTGGAGAGTTTTTTGAATAAATGGACGGCCATTTATAGGACTAGATATAAAACTCCAGTAAATATTTTAGTTAACAGCAATACTTAACCTTCTAACTTGAGGCATGTAGGATTGAGTTAATTATATGTTAACCGAGTCTGGGTCTTCACTATTGCTAAGGTGGCTCTGTCTTAAATATAAGAATGATAAAATGTCTAAGTCATGTGATTTAGGGAACACTGGTCAGGAGCCTTTGCTCCACGGTACATCCTCTGTAGGCTAATGTTACCCCAAACTTGTGCAGTTGAAATTTATTTCCTGGCTCAGC